GCCCTGCAAACCCTTCATTCTTCATGGCTCTCTTTGCCCGAGGGCTGTCGATTCATTATTTCTGGAACAGCCATCCATTAGCAGCACTGAGAGCAAACAGCCCAGCTCGATTGAAGATGGAGCTTGATTATTTTATGAAAGTGATTACCCAACATGGGCATCGGTAATAGCAGGAGGCTGGACTCTGCAACCCATGAGATTCCCTCCAGTCCCGTCTTCCAGTCTGGATCCTAATTGTGCCTTTGCCATTATCTCCCTGGCTCCCTGGTCTCTTCAACGCTTCTGTACCTTTATTTTCCCTATCTATAAAGTGAGTCTGATGTGCTATTATCATCCCCATCATTTAAAAGAATCATGAGCAAGACCCACCCCAAAATCATGGTATTGGTATAAAATAATGAAGGGTGTTAAATGATAATTTTGGGAGGAGCTTTTTTTCTCTGTTTCCAAGTCTTTGGGGTGCAATTGAGTCTTGAATGTTTCTATACAACTGTGAGGTCTAGGACCTTGCCCTTTTTTGTGAACAGAGAGCTGAGCATTTCATACAATTACTTGAGGCTGGAAGAAAGTCACCAAATCTCATGAGATTTGTAATAAGATTATGAAAGCCAGCAACAGCAGTGCTCCCATCCACTTTACAGGAGAGTTGTGAGGCCAGACTAATTAATATGGGAGATGATCTGAGGAAAAGCACTACAAAAAGTGCAAATTTTAATTGACTGCATTTATAGCCTTTATCACTATGGCATCTGAGCAACTCGCAGTCTAATGCATCTGTCCTCACCCGTAAAGTAGGGAACTGCTATAATTCCTGCTTACTGGAGGAGAACTGAGGTGCAGAAATACCGAGCCATTTCCTTGACATCACATAAAAAGAATGTGACAGAGTCGGGAACTTCAGTCCCCCATTGCAATGCATAGGGGATGCATGCGGGTGCACGTGCATCCCCGGAGATCGGCCATGCACCCCCTGGAAGCGCCAGTCACGAAACTGGAAGTGCACTTTTGGTTTCACCACTGGCTTGGTGATCAGCTGCTGGGCGACTCCCCAGGTTGGCGATTGGCCACTGGCACACCCCCTCTCTCAGTCAGCGATTGGCCACTGGGGGACCTTCCACCCCATCGGCAATCTGCTGCCCCCCCTAGACCCGGGAGGCACCAGTCACCCATGGCATAATACCCCAACTGTTGGACCATCCCCTGGTTTATGACCAGCACCCCCAGTGGTGGGGGAGAGAGGGGTGGGAGGGATATCGAGGTGTTATTGGCAGAGCCATTTCTTAGGTTAGGAAAGGTCATACCAGTGGTGGCCTTGGGCTTGTTGGGGCCCTGGGCAAGAGAATCATTTGGGGACCTTTGGAGGCTTAATTTTTATGGCCTATAAGCAAATCAGACATTTGTTGCAAAATTTTGGGGCCCCTGGCAGTCACCTGGTTCGCCCTCCTTTAAGGTCACTGCTGGTCTTACAAATGTTACCAAGAGCCTACATGGGCCTTCACTCGGGCTGAACAGCGGGTTACCTTAAAATATAAGAGATTCTCTGTTTTCTGCTTTCTTCTGTGCTGACTTTCTTCTCTGTTGAAAAATTTATCCTAATGAACTTACAAGTGTATTTCATTGACCCACAGCCTTGCATTATGTTACAGATTAAATGTAAGTAACTTGGATGAGGGCCTTTTAATTTACTACATGATGACAACAGAACAGGAGCGTTCACTGATTTTATTGAATGCTTTAAGACATTGCACTCATATAACAGTCTTTCTCCAAGCTTCCTCAAGCCCTTCTTAAGTGTGAATTAGGTCCCACCCGATGAGAATTGTGGGGTTCTGTTTCTTCCAGGAGGAGAAAAGTCCGGCATAGGTTAACTTATTCACCAGAAGGAACATAGCAATTGAACAGCAGGAGTAAAGATTAGTTTCTCCATGTCTCAGTTTAAGTTTCTATCGCATGATTGCAACTGGGGTCCAGTGGGCATCTGCACCAGTTACAGAGCAGAATAATATAGATCACCTTCCCCATTGGCTTTCATTCCAAAGGGATCACGTTCAGTACTGGGTAGTGGACTGAGCACGGATATGAGTCAGTGCACAAAGACTACTTCTCCCAGCTATGAAGAGGTTTCTTCTTTAGAGACTTATAGTTTGGAGCTGAAGGGTGGAGGGTTCCAGTTCCAGCTGCACATGGATGTGTAGTTAATAAAGTAGTTGAGCTGGATAATGGTGTTGTTACCACCTAAACTATGCTATTGTCTGCAACGTGAATTTGTAGCTACTTTGCAGGGATGGTCTAGCAGACTAATGAATTCATACTTGTGGGGTATACTTTTACCTATACTTTTTTATCCACAAATGTTCCCTGTTCAGTCCCCTATACTTCAGGAAAGTTAGCTGCTGTGACATGCGAATGTTCAAGGAACATAGGATCAGAACAATGGCCATCTAGGCCAGGACCTTGAGTTAGCTGATGGCCTATGTCAGATATTTCAGAAGATATCCATGGTGGAGTAACTCCTGCCATTTAATGGCTGACAAATTGTGAAACAGAAGAGTTTCCTGTACGGTTCTGGTTAGAAGTCTACTTTTTTTTCCTTCTAAAAGAAGTATAAAAACCACAGTTGATTTATAGGCAGGACTGACCTCTAATCAAGCCTCCAACAGTCTTGACTTTTGTACTTGCAGCATGTTTGTGTATGTGTAACCTGGGTACACCCAAGTGTGTGCCCCATCCTCAGTTGGATAGGATAGATGGGCAGGCAACAGTGCTGTGAGAGGGATGCTGTGACTTGGGTACAGATCCCTCTATTTTCTATAAAGCCATACAATGCTAAGGGTTCTTAACTATATACAGAATTTATTTAACATATAAAGAATTATATACAACTGTATACATATATCTATATATCTATATCTATATCTATATCCCAAAGCAATAGATAATATTAGAGAAAATCAACCGCCATACACTCTTATAAATACACATACTTACAACTATATTTGGGAATGGGGTTGCGCGGGGTATGCTTTGAGAGCGGCTCTCTTACCCAGGACCCTGAGATCCTTAAGGTAAGCCACCAGGCCCACAGGGCGATCCTGTGCAGGCCTCCAGCAGGTAAGTACCAGATTCCCAACATAATACTTAACAAATTAAACAACAAGAAAAATAGATTCCAATAGAAAAGAACAACCTTAACATTATTTACCAGCTAAAATATAACATAGCTCACACAGTACAACCAGTTTACAAAATATAAGGTGCAGCTCTGCATTTTGTAGGGCACGCTCTCACCCCATTCTCTGAAAGGAGGAGGGTGGGGGGGTCCCTTTTCTCTGGCCCCTCCCCTGCAAAGGCCCTATTCCCTGAACTCATGGTTGTCCTGAGCGGGGATGTGGTAGGCTTGTTCTCCCTTCCCGTGTGAACCCGGCTGCTGCTCCAGCGTGCCACAGGGGGTTCCTTCTTTGTAGGCCAGGGTCCGGCCCTGAGCACCTCCAAGGCCCCGTCTTCTGTGGGTCTCAGCCCACCTTTTCTGGGCCCAGGCCCAGTGTTCCTGTAGGAGGAAAGGGACTGGTGATGCTCCAAGAGTGCCTTAGGGCAGGTGCCCCTTGACAAGGCCTGAGAGTCTCTCCCTGCTCCCAGGGCCGAGGCTCCAGCAGTGGCTCCTCCAGCGGCGTCTTCAGGAGCCTAGGGCTATCACGTGCTGGGGCAACTTTTCCAGCTTTTCTTGGCTCCGCTCTTCTTCTCGTCCCTCGCCGGTCTGGTCTCCCAACCAAACATGCCTTTCTTTTATAGCCATTCAGGGTACAGAAGGTCCAATCAGAGCAAGGGGTGGTGAAAAGGTCACCAGGACCCCTCCTCCTGTGAACTCTGCCACCAGATCGTAAATGCACCAATCAAGATAAGGGGGGGCACCCTCTCCTGATTGGAGGAAGAGATTGCACCAATAGCTCCGCATCCTGCTTGAGCTGGCAAGCTGCGCGCAAGCTGTGCTGCAACCGGCGTGCCCTTTACACATGCAATAAAAATACCAAGTTGAAATGTTTTCAGTACTGCTGTGGTATTTTGAGTGTTTTAAAACCTTTGGGTCCTTTCTGTGATCATTCAATTCTCCTGTGGGATTTTGTAAGGGCAAGGGCAATTCAAGGTATTTTATCTTTAGCATACTCCTTATATTCAGGGGAAAAGCTGGTTTTCAAAAAAATTGAACCTGAAAATACAGGGTCAATCTATGCCAGGTCAGCTTATAGTTGAAACAATACAGTGTATTCCTTTATCATTCCATATCCCATTTAATGAAACGATCCATTTGGTCCACTCATCATTCAAAGGCCAGCTTCTGTGGAGACAAGCTTGGAAATCCAGTCATGCTTCCAGGTGATTTTCATCATTGATGTTACAGATGGAAGATGCCTCCTGGGTCATCTACTCTTTCCTTTAGTCAACAGGGGATTGTTCTGTTTGAGCTACTATTAGGAGTTGGGAGGAAAATGATGGTTTTTTGGTCTGGTAGAATATATGAAATTCCCCTTCCCCAATTCCCATTCTATATCTGCTGGAAAAGTCAAAATCTTGACACTTAATGTGAACTGAGATCACTGAGAAACACCCATTTGGCTCGATCCAAACATTTCACGTTTAGGATTTTGAAAGATGTCATTTCAGTTTTGACTTTTTGAACTTCTTCCGTAGTAAACATTTTGAAAACCGAAGTCATTGTAAACCATAAAAAACATTTAGTTTCAACCCATTTAAAACAATTTCAAAGCTTCATCCAGTTTTGGGGGTTTTTTAATCGGGAAATCCACCACAACAGGCTTTCATTGAAAGTGAAATGGTTTGCATGTGTTAGGTCTTTTCGGTTTTGGGGGGGCAAAAAAATACTTTTTATGGGAAAAATCCTGACAAGCACTGGGTATTTTAGAAGAAGGCTTTATGTTTATATGTGTTACCTTACAACTGTATCTCTGTGGCTCCATGACAGGCTTGATGGTCTTCTCTTCCAGGTGCTCCCTTTCAAAGGTCTCAGCATCCTCATGCTACCTCCTGCCGGCACTTCCATCTGGGCCCCCAACCTCAGATCTCAGCTGACTTCCCCCTCCCTCACCCTGTCCAGCCACAGCCAGGGCTGAACCCTCACATGGCGACAGCTCACCAGCATAATGGCTCGCTGCACCAGCCCCTGCCACCTATGCCAGCCCTGCCGTTTCAGGATGTGACAGGACCCTCCTTCCTACCTCAGGCGCTACACCAGCAATACCTCCTCCAGCAGCAGCTCCTTGAGGCCCAGCACCGTAGGCTTATGCCTCATCCCAGGTGAGCTATTCTGCAAGAAGCAGAGGAACAGTAAGTTAACCCATGCCAGATAGCAAACAGCTCGCGAGGGCATCTTCTCTTCTTCCGTGCCAAGACGCAAGAGAAACTCAGTGCTGGGGCTGGCACGCGACTCCCAGTGCCATTAACAACTTGCTTGGGGCTGAATTTGGCACAGTGTCCAGGTCATGATCTGTAGTAAAACAGTGGCCATTAAATGTTATGAGTCCAGAGGGAAGCTAAATGGCACTCTACCCACTTCTGACCTGCTTCAAGAGATAGGTGCCTGGGGCCTGATTTTTCCAGGGGCTCAAGTCCCAAAGATTTCTAGGGTCAGGATGGAAGGAATTTCCTATCATCTTAAATTCTGGGAAGTGGCTTAGTGTAAGTAGTATCGTGGAGTAGTAAGGAGCATCACATTATTCTCTCACTTGCTGCCAATGGCATAATCTTTTATTCTAGCTGTCAATGCCACAGCTTCAGCCTGGCACCAAGGGGATCATCAACAGGTAGAGAATCCACAGGCCAATTTGCTAATTTGTGGGGATTACCATAATGTCTCACACACCACAGGCCCCCATATATGACACACACCTTGTTCTGGGAAAGCAGCATGCAGAAAAACAAATTGTTTTTAGAGCCATGGCTAAATGCTGGCTGCACATAACAGGGGCAGAGTCTTTTTTCCAGCATCACTTGCCATCCTGTTGCTAGAGGTTTAATCCCATTACTGCCACTGCCAAATTGGCAGCAGCTTTTGGCTCAGCAGCAAGTGGAGGGCAGTGCCACTGGAGGGTGGACTCTGCCCTCCCTCTATGCATCACAGAGCCCAGTACAGCCCCAAGCAGCCATTCCCCAGCGTCCCCATGCTTCTGTTCCAGTGCAGAAATCAGCTTCACTTAAGACGCACTGATTTTGGATGGTGAATTTTTGGGAGAGATGTTCATGTGGTATGCACATCAGTACAGTAATAGTATAACTACCTCCATACAGTAGTAGTGGTGGATGCTCAGCTGCTTTAAAATAAGGCACTAATTTTTGTACAGGTCGAGCTAGACCTGAACTGTAGTGGTATGTACAGTTTTGAATACATATGAAACATCTGCCAATTGAAAACACCTGATGGATGTGCCCACCATGCTCAGAAAACACAGGCTTATTCAAATAATTCATTTTATGCACATCTAATGTGTATAATGCTTTTGCATTAATGCATACGGGAGATTAGAATTGTGAACAATTGCACAAAGACACGGGGGAAAATATTTGGCTTCTTAATTATAAACATGAATTTAAAAGTACCAAGACTGCTTCTTGTGTCATGCCAGAGTAAATCCAGAGTCACATGGAGTTCCTGCTGTAAAAGACAGGAAAATCCATACTGTACCATTTTAAAATTGTAGATAATCTGTGCTGAACTACGGAGAAAATGGTACGCTAGACTTACACATTTCTCTTTGAGGTTTCAAAGCCAGATGTAACTCTTCATCTACATATTCGGGGACTGTTCAGTAGTACGTACAGATTGTGGATAGGCAAATGATCCCTGTTCTGGCTTGAGATTTATGGCTGTGATCCAACTGAAGGTAGAATAAATGAGGCTGTTGATTTGCTGAACATCCAGTCAAAGGAGACAACCTGGATTCAGGGGAGACTGCCTGCAAAGAGAATTATTTTAACGTAGCAGAGGTGGAAGTGGATGTCCAGCTTGGCTCCGTTTGAATTACTTGAGCAAGTGGTTTATATAAAGCAAAGGATGGAGAGTGTAGATTGAAAACACTCAGGAATCATGTTGTGGGTTACACTAATGGGTCAGAAGTAAGTGTATGAAACTTTGCAGCGCTGCCATGCCATGGAGTGAACGTTCATACGCTTTGTGCCTTTAAGTCATGCATCTTTCTCATGCTTGTTTTGTTTTTTAGGTGGGTTTAGTCATTAGTAATTGACTTGCAAAAACATTTGGGGATGAGGTAACGGTGACTTGTATTCATTCCTTATTGCACCCAGCTGAGACCTTTGGCTGCGGTTCTACATAGCAATTCTGATGCTGGATTAGATCATTCTCATTGATAAACAAGAGAGCCCACTTATGGTGGCAGCTGTCCACGGGGGAGACCTGGTATGAGGAGGAGGGTCCTGCTATGGAAAAGGTGAAGACCTTCTTCGCTAGTCCAGCATACGCTTTCTGAAAACAGCTGTATCAGTTGGGGACTGTTGAAGTACAGCTCCTGTTTCTATAGCAGCTTTGCTCTGTTTGCTCCTGAATTTCTGCCCCAGAACATCAATAAGTGGGAGTTTGGCTAAATAAGGACTGTGCAAAGAGCTGAGGATTTGGCCACTATTTTCCGCAGCGTCTTTGTGCAATTGTTCATAATGCTTGATCCCCTGTGTGCATTAATGTACTGATGCCAACACATTAGATGTGTATATAACAACCTCTGGCATATGCAGAGCTATGCTAGATACTTGAGGCCTTGTTCCCATGTGGTTTTAGGAAATATAACTATTTTGGTTAGAAACTGAGGTCATTTAATTGGAGCAAAAACTGTCCATAGACCAGTTCTTAGGGGCTCAAAGGAGTTTTTGCTGCTTTTTCTTTCTCTAAGTTGTATTGTCTTTGTGTTTGCGGAGCCATGGGAGAGCAGGCTGGATCTACCCTAGCCTGTCTTTTGTCAGGAGAATTGTTGGCTAAGGTCCCCAGCCAGGACCACAGGCTCTTCAGTTATGCCCAAATGGGGCTCCCCAAATGTTAATAAGCTGACCTTGGAGACACCTAGGTTACTGAGATGTAGGCAGTTTTGGTCGGTGATTCATTGTTATGATGGCTGATGCCCAAGTCAGTGTGTGTGTGTGTTGACTTGCAGACCTCTGGCTGAATTTATGATGCTGTTAAGAAGAAAATACGTTTCTTAGAACAGAATAGCCAGAACAGTCAATGGGCTTAGGATATTATATAGAAACAATACAAATAACACTCTGTTGGACAGTGATATCTTTCCCCTGCTTCTTAGTTGCAGGAAGTAGAGAGTTGGTCATCCCTCTTGTGGGAGTTCTTGATGGCCGTCTGCCCAGTGCTTAGCCCAGCACAAGTTTCCCTTTCCCAGCTGCCGGCACTCAGTCTCAGCCACCTTGTCTCTCACCACCCCTGCTCTGCTTTTCCCCCCCGCAGGCGGACTCAGGAGCGCATGTCTGTTCAACCTCATCGGTTACACCCAGGCTTTGACTTTGGCCACCAACTGCAAACTCCTCAACCCATGGGGCCGCAGCCCAGGTACTTAGCTGAAGGCACAGACTGGTAAGTCTTTTGTTTTGCTTGGACTGAGGCATACAACCACAGCCAAAGACGACTGTGGCTATTCAAGCTTGGGGTGCCCAGGTACTACAGTGAGAAATGAACACTGCCAATCCCCACAGCACTGCTCACAGCATAATGCCACTTGTATAGCAAGGAGAAGGGCAGGCTCAACATGCTAGCGCCACACCAGGGCTAGTGATTGCCTTCTCCCAGTTTTCCTCCCCTGTCAGTTGTAGCTGAATTTAGCAGATCAGATTCTCTGCTGCAGACAGCTGGTTTGAATACTGCAGACTGCCACTGAGCAGTGACAGCTCTCTGAATTAAAGCTGGAGCCTGCTCTGAGCTGTCCTTGCTGTCTGGAGGGCCCTACTGCTTCATGTCCTGGCCACTTGCCTGCCCCATCTTGCAATTTCAGCTTTGGGGGCTACACAGAGGAGAAAAATGGGGTCAATAGCAGTAAGGGAGCAAATTGAGCCAGAGACTGAGATGGGGGGTGGGCAGCAGGGGTTGGACAAAGAGGCTGGATAAGGTTCTGTAGAAGGGTGTGTGTGTGTGTGTGTGTGTGTGTCTGTGAACTAAGCTAGGATGAGGAGCCCAGGGAGGGAGACTGGGACCCAGCAGAGAAGACAATAGGGATGACCCGCCCGAGGCTGGAGAGGGAGAGACAGATCAGATGAAGAGCCAGGAGCGGGGAACTACCACTAATTGGGGAAGGAAACTGGGGCCAGGGGCTGGGAGAAGAGCCTGACGGTTGGCACGAGAGTAGGAGTGACAGCCAGCAGGAGTGTGGAGAGACCAATTAGATGAATAGCTGGGACCAGGGAAACTGGATGGACAAACAGGATGGGAATGAGGAGTTAGGTAGAGGGTAGAGACAGGAGAGTTGCACATGGGGAGGGCATGGGGCAGAACGATTCAAGTTTGGGGGACAGGGCAAGCAGAAGGGCCAGGGCCTATTAGCGCATCCTCCCCTTCCAGGACCTGGACTGGAACCAAGATGGCAGAATGTCGCCATTCTCTCGCATCACCACCCATCTCTTCAACCCACCGACACAGCTTCATAGTTTCGTAGTTGGTCGGGTCGGAAGGGACCTGAGCAGATCGTCGAGTCTGACCCCCTGCCATGGCAGGAAAGAGCACTGAGGTCAAACGACCCCGGCGAGGTGATTACTTAGCCTCCTTTTGAAGACAGTGTGTGTCTCCTACCCCCAGCGCTGGTCCACACAGCGTAACAACCTACTGCTGCTGCCAGCTACTCTGTTAGCTCAAGAGACAGAGGTCTGTGTGGCAGACCTGGAGGTACCTATGTGAATGTCACAATAAAGACACATGATAGAATTTCCAATTCTTTAGCCTTGTATTAAAAAAACTGAAAAAGTTGCACACATAAAAAATGGCATTAAAAACCTCTTGTTAAAGGTGCACAGTCCCTCGGATATTAGGAAATGCTGCCTGACTTTCACGTGATTTTAATTTTGTTCCCACTGGAGATAAGCTTTGTGGGATCACCTTAGCTGTATGAGATTTCTCCACAGGACCCCTGCCTCCTTCAGTGCACACGCAGGTGGGCCTGCTCCGGGGGAGAGTGGCGGCTGTGAAGCAAAGGAGGGTGTAGCCTCTTGCAAAAGGGGGCAGACGTGGAATGAATGAGGCAGGGACTCGCAAGAAGAAAAGAGGTGGTCTCAGTGCAAAGACAGTTGAGTGCTGCTCTGCAAAACTGGTTTCTATCCCTGCCTCTGACACAGCTCCTGTGTGATGTTGAACAACTCGACACATATGGCCACTCATTTGTGTTCTTCCTTTCCTGGGTGCTTCATGTGAGATCCAAGGGTTTGACTTGAAGTGTAGGGACCCCAAGCCATGACCCAAGTCAAGGGGAGCAGTGCTGGAACATATATACTGCTATGTGATGCATAGTAGTCCTGGGAAGTCAGGGGCTCAGTGTCTCCAACTGGACCCCCAAAATGAAGACACTTGACCTTAATGTATCTATGCCTCAATAAATAACTTTGGGATGATATTACCCCCACACCTCACAGAGTGTTATGGAGATTCATTAATATTTATCAGGCACTCAGATACCATAGTGTTAGCCCTATGAAACCATTGAGAAACAGGGCTGGAAGGGGCCTCAGGAGGTCAGCTAGCCGAGCCTTCTGCTGGAAGCAGGATCAGCCCTGCGTTAACCGTCGCAAGCAATGGTTTGTGTAACTGGCTCTTACAAACTTCCAGTGGTAGAGATTTCACAGCCTCTCTAGGTGATCTCTTCCAAAGCCTAACCACCCACAGAGTTAGAAACTTCTTCCTAATATCCAGCCTAAATTTTCCTTGTTGCAATTTAAGCCTGTTACTTCTTGTCCTGCCCCCTCCAGCCACAGAGCAACCTGTCACCGTCTGCTTTGTAACAATCCTTTATTGGAAGACCGTTATCAAATTCCTCTCAGTCTTCTCTTCTTCAGGCCAAATAATCCCTGTTCTTCCAACCTTTCCTTGTGTTTCTGCAGAAGAAAATCAAATCGGACGAAACCACCATAGAAAAGCCCCCCACCATACGAATAATTCTTTCTTCAGAGGAAAGTTTGAATAATAAGAAAATAAGGCACAAGGGCATGTTCTGAGGAAAACCCAAAATTTTGAATAGCTGCTTATTAATTATCACCATTCATTCTGTCAGGTGAATGAGGCAGGGACTCCTGCGGGAAAAAAATAGCGTGCGATCATGTCATGAAAGATGATCATAATGCTTATGCACGAGGGGGGTCACATTAAACTTGCACAGGCGACCTTAATTATGGCGTTTGGGAACTTCTGAGTGCTTTGCTTTGCAAACTGTGAATGCTTTTTTAACGTAGCTGTTTCACGAGTAATTATATGCAATAAAAAATAGGGCCAGATCCTTCCTGTTTCTGCTCAAGCATTTCTGCAGATGCCAGTGGGACCCGAATGCAGCCCATGCAGCGTGGCTTATATGGGTTAGGAAAGTGCTTTGACTTCTTTCTGGAAAAGAGCGTGTGTGTGTATGAGTGTGTGCGTGAGTGCATGCATGCACGTGCATGTGAGTGTGTGTGTGTGTGAGCAGTGTTAATTATGGTCATTATTAGTATCTCACAAAGCACCACTTACCCTCTTCCTATTTTTCCCTTGGCCTTATAAAAACCGAGGGAGTGGATGGCAGGAAATCACATATTGTATGTACATCTTGGTGACTCATTTCCCCTCAGGGTGCTTGTACTATTCCACCCCAGTGACAGATGTAAAAACATTTCTCTAATGTATTAATACATCAGTGGAGATTTGTACTTGCTCAAAGGTAACCGAGCACTTTCGTACACAAGACGGGGACGGAGGGAAGGGCGGCAAGAACTCAGATCTCTTAAACTGCTAAGCCTTTATTAAAATGGTTTGGTGCTTAAACCAAATGAGAGAGAAACTCCCTTTGTTTCCTGAGATACAATTCTGAACACGCATTAAGTGAATACAATCTCACCTGTTAACTTGGCTCTAATCCTTCAGTTATTATTCCTAAGTGAGATGCCCCCTGAAGGCAAAACAGTAAGATTTGAATTCATAATGTCCATACATCAATGCTCTGCACCAATGCTTGGTTGGTTTTTTTTGGCGGGGGGGGTGTTAAACATGTAACGCTAGAATATTGTTTGCTTTGACTTCCCCAGCTGGTTGGTCAGATGTATTAATTCCCAAACACCTGGGGGAACGTTAGCCAATACAGTCTGCTGATTAGGGACCTTGTGCGGATCTAAAGGACTTGATTATTTTTCCTTAAATTTTGTTTTCCAAGTTAGCTGCATAGTTAATTTGGCACTACAAGGTAGAAATAAAGGCCGATGGCTTATTCTTTCATAGTACGTTTCATCTATAGGTCTCAAAGCTCTTGCCAAAAAAAAGAGGTTCCCAAGAGAGGAATTTACATGCTAAAAGCCACTCAACAAGTCATTGCCAGAACTGGGACGAGAACCCAGATCCTCTACTTCCTAGCCTGTTGCTACCTACTAGCAAGGAGTTTATAATCTGGTGCCATCACAGGCTGCCATAGCCATCCTGGCCTGTGCACAGGCTGCAGACCTCTGCTGTGGACCCCAATCCCTGTCCTGAAAAGCAAATGAGTGGTGGCAGATTCTGTGGTGAGGGTAAGTGCAGGCATGAGAGATCAGCCGGCAGAGCACGGGCTCTGCAGAGGAAATGGATGGTACAAGCAGAGCTTCACGACGCCACTCGATGCTACCTCCAGCCAGATGAGACCTCTGTGGGCTAGAGCCAACATCTTCACAGGCTGGATGCAGCCCATGGGCCATAGGTTGCCAAGTCCTGCACTGAGCGATGTCTTGCAAAGGTGTATAATGTTCATGCCTGAGGATGTCTGCCCCAGTGGTAGGGACCAGCACCCTGGGCTCCGTTCGGGCTCTGCCAGTGACCTGCTGGGCATCCTCAGATAATCAGCTCCATCGCTTGTACCTCCATCTCCTTGCCATCATCTACCCTTCTAGCCCTTGATGTCTTGAGGAGAGAGTTAGTGGTACAGCACCTGGCACAGTGACAGATGCTTCAAGGCACTACGCTAATTTAAATGATAATAATAAGGGGTTGGGGCAGGGAGGGAAGTTTGGGCATTTCTGTATAGTCCTGTCATGAAGCCATTTGTTTGCTGTCCCCTATGTAGCCCAGTGGTGACAATGAGCTGTCAGGGCAGGTCTAGGTTTTTACAGGAAGAGAAATGACCCTCTAAATGATCCCATCCTTGGGTGCTTCCCCCACCTCCAGAAGCTCCTCCTGCCTTTCAGCCCTTGTGATGACGTCCCAGTGACTTACGTGTCACCACTGTCTGTGCCAGGGGGAGGGCGAGATGCTACAGAGGGGTGGATGCCCAACATTTCGAACCAGGTGGGCATATTTCAGTCCCTGGCTCAGCGGTGTAAGCACCCTGAGTTTCCATCAACCCCAAGGGAATGGTGGGTGCTCAGCACTTTGTAAAACGAGGCCACTCCTGTCTTTGCTTAAGTTTGGGTTTTGCTGCTTAGCTGTGGTTACCAACGTTTGATATTTTTCACTGTAATTTTCAGAAGAAATGAATGCTGAGTTCCTCAGACACAGTCCTGAGCCCTTCTTGTCAGTGGTGCCTACAACCACAGGGGCTGTTGAAAACTCAGCCCCAAGGGGTCTGTGAACTAAGGGCAGATGAGGAGCCCAGGGTGAGAGCCTGGGACCCAGCAGAGAAGAGAATAGGGATGACCTGAAGCTGGAGAGAAAGAGGGATGACCAAGAAGCACGGCATAATGGCTCTGTACAGGCCTTGAGCCTGGTAGGACACCCATGCAAGCAGCCCCTGCTCCTGAAGGCCGGTTTCAGTTCTGGTGGCTTTGGCCAAGAAGGGGTCTTCTTGGCCAGGTGCCTTTGGAGGAGCAGGGATTCACTTTATAATAATCATCCGGGCACAGCTGTTGCTGTCATGTAGCTGTGTTCCCAGAGCACCTTAAGACCGGGAGGCAAAGCAGAGCTGAAGTGACTTGCCCCAAGGCAACACAATAGTTCAGGGATAGAGCAAGGAATAGAAACCAGGTCTCTTGAGTCCCACCGCAGGGCCCGATCCACCGGCCCATACAGCTACTCTTTAGTTCCTAGTCGTCTTCTTTTCATGCACAGTATTATGCAATGGCTTTCAAATCTCTTCTCAGCTGGAAGCCCCCTCCCTGGCCCCCCTTACCCCTTTATTGCTTTCCACTGGGCCTGTTTTTGGCCCGTTCTCCATAGGAGCTCACATATAACAGGAGGCCTCAGACAGCGGAGGGAGGTGAGGTCTAGGCTAGAGAAGGGGTTGATATGCTCCAGTGCCCACGCTGCCTGGGGCCCCGCACTGCCAGGTACTTCCACAGCTATTGTTTCCTTGTGTCTGTCATCCACTGCTGAGCAAGAGCCACTTGGAGAAATGTTTGACGGTTCATAACAAACCGCAGCACTGGCTGCTGCCTTCCTCTGCTTCAGGGGAAAGAAGTTTTGAAGATGAAATGAATGGCAATTTCTCTCTTCTAATGAGCTTTGCTTTGGTAAATGCTAAGACAATGTTTATTAAAGTGCCTGCTTTTGTAATTAGGGGGAAAGGAACGGCATTCAGCATTTATTTGTGAAGAGATTGCTCTCTCTGGAGAGACAGGGGATCGGTAAATTGGATTATAGATGGAGATACTGTCCTCGCTCTCCTCCTTCCAACTCAGACCCATGGGGATGGGGCTTGCCAGCATGTTGCAGCTCACTGGCTTGTGCCCGCGTCAGTACAGAGGGGATGTGGTACAGAACGATAATTAATTTCTGCTGGGCAGATGCATCAGAAATGCAATGCAGTAAGTTTGCAGCCTCCTCTTTTGAGAGCGGTGGTGGATTCTGCATCTCCCGAGTCTTCAAATCAAGACTTAGGTGTCTTTCTAGATGACAGAAAGGCATCTGTTCAGTTAGAGGGGTTCTAGGCAGGAATAAGTGGATACAAATTTAATTTTTTTGTGGGGTTTTTGTGGTCTAGTTAATAGGAGCACAGGGCTCCCAGAGTCCAGCCTCCTGCTGCCGGAGGTAACCAGTGGAGTTACTCCACATTTACACTGACATAAGGATAGATGCTGCCCTGCTCTAACCCAGCTGGTTCAGTCTTAGCAGAGCTACAAATTTGTCACTCATCCAGTTATGAAGCCAGTCGAACTCAGTTTTGTGCTACCCAGCAAAGAACGGTGCCTTTATTTAGCAAAACAAAAGCAGAGCAGAGCTCTTACATGTTGGCAAGGAGAGTGCAGAGGGCCAATCTGGGCCCCCTTGATCTCTGTAAGCTCTGCTGCACTGATGTAAATCAGAAATAACTGAATCAATGGCGTTAAGCTGGATTTGAATCGGTGTAGCTAAAAATTAGAGCTAACGTGCTGTGCCCTTTTTTTTCTGGAGTGTTGTATGGGTTATGAATGGAACGGTAGAGGGGAAATAAAGGGATGCATTGTCAAAAGATGAGATTATTGTTATATGCCTGTTCTTGTGCTTGCAGGGATCTCAGTGTTGATGCTGGCCTGACTCATGCCCAGTTCCAGGTTAGGACAGTTCCTCAGCCCTATCAGCATTACCTAGCTACACCTAGAATGCACCATTTCCCTAGGAACACATCCTCAACGCAGATGGTGAGTGAAATGCTTTTGCTGGGAAATGTTTTATGCATTGTCTACTAGAAGGAAGCCAAAATAAAGGCTGCTGTCTTTCCATCACCTGTTTTCCAAGAGTCCTACTTATCTCTGTCCGTGGGAGGGAGTCAGTCTGAAAAGATAATGTTGCGTTGTTATACTCACGGGGTAGGAAACGCTACAAGGAAGGATGCATACTAGCTGAAGATGGGTTTGGTCTGTTATCTCTAATGGAGCTACTTCACTTTACACCAGCTGATAAGCTGGCCTACAGGTTCTAGACAGAATGGGAAAGATCCGGCACGTGCTATTAGGCATTGAAGCAAATTCAGCTCTCAGGTGAACGAATGTCAATCCAGGTTAACTCCGCTGAAGTGTGTGTTGTTACTGCAGATCCCCCCTTGTTTTAACTGAGAGCACACTTTGAGTCACTGATCTTTATTCGTATTTCCACTACTTGCATGCTGTAAAAGAGCCTTACAGGGGATTTAAATGTAATTTAACCAATTTATAGGGCCATAAATAGGACTCCTCATACATAAGAATCAGGTCCACTGACCCTCTTTTCACTCAGAAGGATACTTGACAGCCTTTTCTTGTTTTCATTTAAATGGGCACCTGAGTAAACTGGGGGTTTTCACAAAGCATCACTGCAAACGGTTAAAACTCAACAACAAAAAAATCCCAACTCACTCTTCACTATTGACACAGTTTCCCCTGAGGTCAAATATAATTATTTCAGACATTTCCCTCCAAAATTTTGCATTTAAAAAAAAGAGCGTTTGCCCTTGGGTGTGTTCTGATTTTTGCAATTGTAGGGGAGAGGCCCAACACTACATTGGTATAGGGTCATTTCAAGAGGAAAGCTCAAGCTGGGTGCGTTTACATAAGCCATTAACACGAAGCAATAAACCACAAAGCTTATTTCTCCTCAGATAATTGCTCCTGGGAAAGCTCCCGGGTGTGCAGTTTACACGCGCGCCCAGAGTGCAGCACATTGAACCAGGTTGAAGCAGCCCTGGCTGGCAGGGGGCCCGGGGGGTCATCCTGCCAGCCTGGAGCTGCTCCAGCCAGGCTGGAGGTGGTGTGGCGGGGCTGGCTGGGGCACGAGGGTGCTTCTGAGCTAGCCCCAGCCAGTCCTGTCAGTCTCTACACGTGCGCTGCTGTGCACAAAACACCTCCACAGCAGAGTAAGCCTTGTATTTACAAGTCCTAGCCTGCTGTGGAATATATCATTTTCATGCACCCTTATCAGGGCACGGGCTGACATGGAGACATTTATTGCAGTTAATTAGTCAACTGCACAGTAAACATCTTGTGTAGACACACCCACTGAGATGCTAATGAGATTTGGGTGTCCACGATCCTCTGAGCAGTTTTGAAAATGTCAGCATTGCCTCTCAACTTTTTGTACTTTAGTCAGCCTGGTCTATGAACAAAGCCCAGTCACTTCATCGACGGGTTTGCTCCCATTCTGAGAACACTGGATTTTGGGTTGACCCACATAAGCATTGCTAACCGACGGCAGTTTTATGGCAAGTCTGACAACCTTTGGTGTTTTTCTTAAAGCCCTCAGGTCCTGGAGTCAGGTGAACATGTGAGAATCTTAGCTTTCCTTAAAAAAAAGGCAACTGTCTACACTTTTGGGTTGCAGAGAAATTGAAAAATGACTCAAAAGTTTCAGAAAGACTTAAAAGTTCGGAGAACAAACAAGGAGAACCGTAAATGTATTTCTGGGAAAAAAAAGCCTCCTATTTCTTAAGTTAGTCTGGCAATGTCTGAAGCCTTTGAGTTGGCAACACTGCAGAGACCACAGACACAGTATTACAAATAATTGAATTGAAATAAAAATAACTATGATTCATATTTATTAATAGGACTTATTAAAGTCCTATTATTTCTTTGTTTTTAGAGAAATCTTCATTTTGGAGGCCAAAAGCTAGTTATTAGGCTGCCCTTTAAGTTTTGTACTTTTTAAAAAATGGTTTTATTTGAAGTCAAGGCAGTCAGAGGATTAGAGGTGCTGAGATGATTTTTCTTCCCTATCCTGCACAGGTTGTCCATGAAATCAGAAACTACCCTTATCCTCAGCTTCAGCTACTTGCTCTTCAGGGACTAAATCCGAACAGGCACACATCTGCTGTGAGGGAGAGCTATGAAGTACGTACCTAGTGACTTAAGTGGTTGTTAACCCCAGACACCTGCAAATGTTGTAATATAAATTGTTACAGCTCCTCTCTGGAGCACAGCTGGGCTGCAGCAGAGCACTAGGGCCGTGCGGGATAAGGCCCGAGTGCTACACGCGTGTAGTTGTAGTTGGAGCTGAAGTCCATTTGAAGTCTATGGAAAGATGCCTAATGTCATCAGCGGGTTTAGGATCAGACTTGTGGCTGTTGGCCCACGAGAGCTGCTTCCCCACAGAGAGCAGGCAGGATTTGTAGCTTATCGGGTATGTTGTCATGCAGCCGGTGTTGCAACGTCCACCGTTGTGCTGCTGGGCGGTGGTGTGAATCTAGGAAAGGCCTTGTGCCCTATTAGAAAACTATTTTAACGATTAATTTGGAATAATGAGGTCTCGCTCCCAGACATCAGAAACAGTCCCACTGCGCTGCTCTCCATCCATGCTGTCCAATGACCATGGAAAGCAATGAGCGGTGATCCACCATGACAGGAGCACTGGAAAGGGGCCTGGTTAATGCCTGTTTGTGCGGTGATGGTTACAGCCAACCTCTTAGGTTGGAGGGCAGTCTAGCACCTGGGTCTTTGGGCTCCCAGGCAGGTGCCTTAATCACTTGGCCATTGGGATGAACACTTAGGAGCGCTGCCCTTGTCCTTACCCCTCCCTGGCTTTTTCCCTGATTTACAGCCCTACCTCCCATCTTGTGGGTGCTGCCTCTTGTCCGAGAGGCTGGTTGGTGTCGGCAAGATGGGTGCATGACTGGCTGGTGCTTTGTGTTTCAGGAGCTGCTGCAGCTGGAGGACAGACTGGGCAGCGTGAGCCGGGGAGCTGTGCAGAACACCATCGAGAGGTTCACGTTCCCACACAAGTACAAAAAGGTGAGGGCTGGACCGCCAGCATCTCCAGGCAGCCCCTCAAGCCGTCCTGACTCACCCTGCCTCAGGAAGACAGTGCAGCAGCTAGAGACACAGGACCATCCTTGTTAGATAGGACAGTGTGCATGTGACAGGGTAGACTGGAGCCCAGAGCTTCAAATCCAAACATCCCCAGATTTGGGGAGGAATTTAAAATCCAGAGGCCACCTCTCATTTGGAGGATGATAACACACAGCAGCAAGCCTAGGTGAACAGGCCAGGGCGGTCTGATGGTGGCTTTCTGACTTCTAGGCTCAAATCTGCAAGCCAGATTTTCCTGCTCGGCCAATGCAGCTTTCTCTCAGCGTGACCCATGCACATGCTTGCAACTGTACTCATTTTTATTCAAGTGTTAGTACCCACAAGTTAAACCCAAAAAGTTATGTGGTGTGCAAAGCATGTACAAACCCACTCCCATGAGTCCAAACTCCATTCCTGGAGTGCAGGGGGAAGCTTGCACTCTCCTGTCCGTGAAAGATAACTCTCTTCTTCGACTTCTTTTCGTGAAACCTGGTCGCCTCACTTTATGCTGGTGTGAGAGGAGGCCAGGGGACAGTAGGGCATATGATTTTGAATGCTGAACTGGATTTATGCCACCCTCATTTGGGAAAGGGGATGTTGCTAAACCTAGAAACTGAGGCAAACCATTGGGAAAAAATCCTGGACCAATTTGTGCCCTTGCTGACAGTGGGCTCTATTAAACACCCTTTCTCTTTCTATAGATCTGTACAGTGTCTAGCATCATGGGCACGGGGTTGTCAGCCCTGTCATGTTAGAGATAGCACTTGCCACTCTGGGAGAATGGAGGTGGCAAGGTATTTTTTAAGTGAGGCATAGGGTCACCTGCAATTCACTCTGGGGGATTCTGAGCTCTCCGGTAAAGACGATTGCAGTTATGAAGTCTGCAAGAAAAAAACCCCACAACCCTAGAAATTCAGGCACACATATGCAGTTGCCTACAGGGACAAATGATGCCTGGATTAGATAAGGCAGTGTTTATGGAAGCCAGTAGGAATCACGGTGTACCTGAGGTTTGAACCCAGCCCCTCGCACATAATTACAGATCCCAAAATGCTCAAGAGACTGCGGAGACTTAATAATCAGTGTGACATTAATCATGGGACTCGGGAGGAAATGGCTTCCTGGCTTCTCTGCTGACATTTATTCTCTCTGCCTCTCCTCTCCCAGTACATTTTGACAGTCAGAACATTAATAGGACCTGGCATCCTTCCCTCTGTAGGTTTTTGGCTGGGCAGACTTCCCTGACCTGGTGGGTCTATTCAGTTGACAATGAAGCGCTTATTATTCGCATTCCTCCAACTTGGGAGGCTTTCGAGAGCATTAGAGAGTCGTCAGCTCTCCTTTTGTAATTAAATTATGTCTTTAACCTTGTCACAGAGAAGACCACAGGAAGGCAAAGCTGAGAAGGAGGACGGGGAGGAGTCGGACACCGATGAAAAATGCACAATCTGTCTGTCTATGCTTGAAGATGGAGAAGATGTGAGGTATAATCATTCCCACTGAGAGCTCCGGCTCTCCCCCTCTGCCTCTCTCCATTCATTTTCTGCTTGGTTTGTATTTTATTTATGGGAAATCATTCACTGCTGCGTGGGTCTGCTTCCAAGACAGGGCTGTCAAAGCTCCTGTTCTGGTGAACTCTCTGAGCATGCAGGGTGCAGTTTATCTGCAGGAAGCTCAACTTGATTAGGACTGTCTCAAAACACACTTTATAAAGTGTGGATAAAGAGTGCAGTGGGGTGGGAGGCTGGAGGCAAAGGGTTGTTTTTTTCCCAACAGTGTCCTCTGGTTTCTCTCTTCTTGTCTAAGATCCCTCAGCACTGAAGACTTTAGCACAGAGGAACATTTGTGCAGCGTTCGGTTACGTTGCTGGATGCCAAAATTCAGAACAAAATAGGTTTCTGAGTTGGAGGCAGGTCTCTGATTCAGGGGTGGTTTGCATATTAGGATTGAAGTCAACCCATTCTGATGAGAGTGGCCATGGGAAGACCCGAGATTCAAGTTCAGGGGGTCGGGTCTAGGGTTTTGCTTCAGGTTGTTTCTTAGTCCAGCTTCGAGGCCGTTGTGCCCAAGTGCAGAGGATGGGAGCTAGGGTTTTAAACTGCGCGCCTGAAATTCAAGGTCGGGTTACGACCCTTTTTTGGCCATTTGGCTCTGTTTGCTAGTGACCTCTCATTCATTAAGTTCTGGCTGCTGCTGCAGACAGGCAGTTGAGGAGCACGACCCAAGCTGTAACAAGATGACTCCAGCCAACCTTTATCACTGAGGTCCTGTCTTGTATCACAGCAAAAGCAATGTTATCAGTGTTCACTTTAGTGGGACTGGAGCCAAGGTTCAGACACACAGTGTAATGACTGAGGAGATAGGGCCCATAGCCCTTCTCCTAGCAGTTTTATACCCATGTGTGTAGAGCACGAGCTTTGGTGGGTTTACTCAGCTGGTGGGAGCCAGGAGTCCAGGCTCTGACAAGCTAGCCCTTTGTGGCTTTGGGACAGTGATGCCAAACTAAGGTTTGGTGTCATTTTAATGGCAGTTTTGCAGTGAGTTTAGCTTATGGATTTGTATAGGCCGGTTTGGAGAGGGATGGTTCTGCCTTGAGTAGAGGGCTGGACTAGATGACCTCTGGAGGTCCCTTCCAGCCCCGCTTCTGTATAATCATATGCTTTAGCTGCAGGCCTTGCTGGGGAGGCCAGTACAAGTGGAGCTCAGGACAGGATTGTGTCTCGTCTGCGAGGAGATACTTTGACTAGGAACATACAACTGGAAGAGGCCTCCTGGGTCATGGGGTCCAGCACCCTGCTGTTTCAAGCACCTGTATCATAGCATCCTTTTCTTAAACTGCGTGAGCCCTCTCCTTAAACAGCTTTGGTGGTTTCCCCATTTGGGAGGCTATTCCTGAGTTTCCTTTTTCCCCTGCTTTTCAGCCTTCCTTTATTCCCAGCCAGTTTATACTGATTTGCCCTTGACAAGGGGGTAGCTTGCTTCCTTGGGTGAATCCAGATCAGGCTATGTGGCACCATGGGCGCCCAGCTCTGCCTCCTCCCTTTCTCTTGCCTTGTCTTTTGGGATGACTTTGGACCCTCAGTGAGCTCACGGAGGGAGAAATCCCAGTGATCCACCATAGATTAGCTCAGGCGAGGAGCCTTGGCCCTTCACTCCTTTTTTTTTTTGCTCCATTTTCTCTTTATTTATGTTGACTGGGTGGTTGTGAAGTATGCTGAAGTGCACAGAGCTGACTGTCCTCACAAAGACGGTGTAAGATGCCAGCTGCATTCAGGCAGATGGGGATGGACAAATTTAACTATACTGAACTGCAAGAAATAGAGAGGCCAGCATGTCGGCAGCAAGGGTAATTAGCTATGGGAACACCATGCCCTGACAGGCAGTGGATTATTCTGTCCCTCGACGTCTTTAAATCCAGCCTGGTTGCCTTTCGGCAGAGATGTAATTGCTCATATAGAAGCTGTGGATATGATACAAGAGCCAGTAGCTGAGATGTTATGGCCTGTGCTATGCCTGCGGTCAGATCAGACAGTCATCACGGTCCCTTCTCACCTTTGAAACCATGAATCTGTGAAATACGCTGAGCGCAGCATGCGTGACTCTCTTGTCCCTGCCTCTAGGTTACTGGGTCAGTGTCTACGTCTCCCTCGAGGTTTTTCTCGTTGCCTTTTGTTTCCCTTCCAGCCTCCTTGAAGTGCATCCATGCATGGCCCTAACAGGCGTGTGATTCTTCTCTTGCAGGCGTTTACCCTGTATGCATCTCTTTCACCAAGTGTGTGTGGATCAGTGGCTAGCCACCAGCAAGAAGTGCCCAATCTGCAGAGTGGACATTGAAACACAACTTGGCTCCGACAGCTGAAAGAACCAGCTGGATGCACCATTTTCCTTACCAGGTCGTATGGCCATAAACCCTTGCAGCAAAATTTTGCCTTCTGAGCCATTTGATTTAGAGGAGAAGTCTGCAAGCACATTAGCGAGGAGGAGGAAGGAGGAGTTGGTGGTACAAAATCTAGGGGTAGGAGAGTATCCTAACAGCCATATTGGCCCAATGCATGGGAGCTGGCATTCCCAGAGCTTGAAGGCCCTGTGCTGCAGAAGATTTAGTATTGAACATGAAGGAACTAGTTTGTGGTAGTCTGGCTTGTCAATCCTGCATCTCATGAGGATTGTATATATACCTCTTGACTAAGTAGAAACATGTTAGGGGTTCTTTAGCTATTTCTATGGATGGCAGCTGGAGCATGTTAGCTTAAGAAATGTTGTGTTTGATGCCCTAGTCATCTTGTGGTGGACATGTCGCTGTTAACCTAATTTGCACCAAATATTTTTTCATAGATTCCTTATTTTGGTGCCTGATTAAAGCATTGCGGGGGGGGGGGGGGGGGGGGGGGGGGGG